AAAGCCCTTAACACTATCTAAGGGCCCAGCCCCTCCCTTTTTAACTTTCCCTTTTCGGGATCCCATAGAACTCGAGGAAGACCCTGGCAAAGATAAAGACACCTCTACCCTCTCCTTGGCATTAACAAAGTCAACACTTGGAAAATTATCTATTTTATCACCGACATCCCCCAGGTCATCCTCTTCGAACTCAAGCGACCTGTTCCCCATAGCAAGGGACACAGAGGATGTAGTGGCTTTAGAGGAAATAGACTTTAGGGGATATTGGATAAGAAGACAAAAGGAGGCATAAAAGGGAGGAAAATTGTTGAAACTGTCCTTGAAAGCCCTAGGATCGAGGCTCAAGTGACCAAAGAGGAAAATCCTAACAGTGGCGTAAGGTTCTAAGAAGAGAGGAAGAAAAGATAAGGAATAACCTTGATTCCTAAAGAAGCAAAAGCGAAGGACCAAAAGTGAAGCAACCACCTCGAATCTGAGGGATCTAGAACGAACAAAGGCGTAAAAGAGAAGAAAAATAGCAGAGCAAAGGACGTACCTAGTTGAAAATAAGCGACAATCAAAAACCCGAGGTAAATCCAAGGAATGAATTAAGTAGCCTCGCAGAACCTTCAAAGTAAATTTGAGGAATTTCCAACAAAATCCTAGATCTCTAATAAGATTGGGGAAGATGAAATCGAGAGAGAAAGGAAAGAGAGAAAAATCTAGAGAGAGAGAGACAACGTGAAGAGATTTTGAAGTAATGGAAAAAGTAGTTTCTTGTCTGCTGAAGCATTTAAGGAGGTCGTACGGACAGACACATGGAAGCAGAGGAATAAGGAACGTGCACGAAAAATAAGGCAAAAATGATTAAACATTTGCAACACCATAACAGCCAAGAAAACCTCCCATCATGTGCATCTCAAGGTCGATTTTATGCAACCTCGCCCATCCAAGACAAAGCTCAATCCCAGCTCACACAGCCCTGCATGACCAGGGACAAGGGGCAACTGATAGTACCTCGAATATGCCCAAGGTTGAGCTCAGTAACTCAGGTCATGCTCTCTTAGGTCGGAAGCTCAATAGCATGAAGACATAGACTCCAGACCTCGAGCTCCCTGCATATGCATCTCAAAGAAGGCAGTCTAAAAGACAGTTGGCTTCCACCAAGCACCCCCTCGATAGCAACTATCACTTATCCAAGCACAAGATCCATAACCACCCCAACACCCATCACAGTCGTTGCACAATAAAAGCAATTGTTACAAAAGAGAGGCAAAGATCTCACCATAAATCTGGCTGAGTCAACTTTAAATAAGAGACACAACCCTCAACAGAAAAACAAGCAATAATCATCTAACTAAAATACTCTCTAAAATATCCTCCCATTATCAATATATTCCCCAAGAGCAAGAGACTCCTTTGAGAGTGAATTAGCCGAGCTCCCGAGCCGGTGAACCGCTATAAACCCTCTGTGTGATTATCTCATCCCCTAATCCAATTCTCAAAAGCCTTGGAGCTCAAACTGAACTGTTCAGTGCATGTTGAATCTACCGTTCTGCTCCATCGTGTTTATACATCATCAGCTATCATATCATTGTTTAAATTGCATCATGAGTATGAATCAAAGAAAATAAAAATTTATCTTTAACTCACACAAACTAATCCACCCTTCTCTTAGGTTGCATTTAGGCTAACACACCCCACCCCGCTGCCTCAAACATAACCCTACAACTGTTATAACCCACCCGACAAAACTAAGGAACCACTATCGCCACAAATCTCCACCATCAGCATTAGTCCTTGCCCAACCCCAACGTCACACTGTTGCCCTTATCCCTACCAATAAATATGGTGAAACATCCCTAAACCACTAGCCCCACCCCACCCCGTTACCGCCTCCAACAAAAATTGAAAAACTAGAAATCAAAACAAGGAGAAAATGAAGCATACCTTATATCGCCAAGATCAAAGGTTAATGAAGAAGATGATAGCTACTAAGGGATTTATATAGATGCACACTAGACCTCAGGATCCTTTCTCCTACAGTTGATTGTGTTGAGATGAGAGAAGAATTTACTATGTAATTCATCCCTAGCCACTCTTTTATGTCCAAACCAAAGGAAAGGTGACTTCTCTTTCCTAGAAATTTTGTCGCCCATTGTAGAAGATTGGGTCAGGGATTGGTTAGGGGTTGCGATCTGATTTGGTTAGATAGGAGAGTTAATTAGGGATAGAAGGGTCTTTTCACAACCATATCCTAGGTTGGCTAATTTCAAACCCACCCCTTAGGTTTGTTGAAGCCCACATACATGGGTTTTACCTCAATTGTTCATTACAGACCTAGATTTCAATCTCGGGCCTTAGATCTGTAACCAAACAAGGAATATGATAATCCATTGGACCATTTTTTTAAACTCACTCTTGCATACCCTCCCAAACCCTCACACAAATAGACCCTTGAAGATTATGTAAGTGTGCAGTTTTACCTTTGCACATGCTCTATTTTGCAATTACATTTCCTCTCTTTGGGAAATGTAAGTAATTTGGGACAAATAATTCCAAAAAAAAAAAAGTTAAAGGACTGCCCTAAAGTTTATTAAGGACATGCATGGTTTTGGAGCAATATATTTTGTTGTGTACTAGGACTTGGTAAAGGCTTTCTCAATATTTTCTAGAATTCTTTGTTAGTTTTATCATCACTTATAAACTCTAACAAAGTAAGAGCAATTACTTTTCCACAACTACTGGTGTTTTCCAAATAGGAAACACAATATTGTTACAACCTATCATGAAAACAAAATGGTTGGCAAAGTCATTAATTGAGCAAATCAAAAAATAAATTATGAAATGAAAGAAGCCATCAAACGACATGGGAAAGGGACGAAGACATGAGGACTGAATTGTTGAAACGAAAATCCCAAGAGCCGTTAACAGCGTCGTGTATGTATCAAATATCAAAAAAAAAAAATTAAAACCTTACAAGGCAGAATTAGGGTTTACCTTCGAGATCCCTCAGGATTAATCATGTCTCAGCACAAACGCAGAATCGAACAACGAGCAACTAAAGGACTGCTCGATGAACCTCGTGACCTTTTATAGTATATCCCCCAATGTTAGAATTCGGATGCAGTATGGGTTGCCAAAACCTCTAAACTTTTGCTCTCCCTTTCAGCCTCTCTAAAAAACGTGATTAAATAATAGATGCTGAATTAGAAGCCTAAACGTCTATATATAGGTTACGACAGAAATACTAAGGAGAAATAAGGATCGGGCTTCCAATGGACTTAGGATTCTTATGTTCAACCCAGAACAAACATCTTACAGCCCATTAATAATAAGTCAATCCACTAAAAACTTATTATTGATCTCCTGAGTTTTATCTCAAAATTATATTCGAACTCCTTATTGTTATATGCTTAATAATCTTCCCACATTTAAGATGACAAATGTCCATCAATTAAATAAATTACTGATAATTATATTTAATTGACTTCATTTACTCTTTGAGACCTTACTACTCAACTTATTTGTCATGTCGGATAATTAAATCCATCTGTAGGGTTTGACATGGACAAAACTTATGAGCTTCCTCAAGAGGACATCATCAACCCATTTAACTATTAGGACATGGTTTCCATTAATAATTAATTCCCACCATATAATTAGCATCGTCTCCTAATTCATCGAGCTTATTGACTCAATATGAATCTCACCCTTTGACGAATTAAAGTGACAAACATTATATGCATGTGGCAATTAAATATTTTGGGATTAAAAGTATAAGCAATAATAATAATCAAGAGGTATTTATTATCTTATTGAATCAGTAAAAGATAATAACCTCAACATGGGTCTGTTCAATATACAAAATGTACTAGTGCAATAATCTGAGACATCAAACAACCTCCTACAGTCTAGACAAACTATGTCAGAATATTATACGACAATCATACTGATGGTTCCATCTCGGATTGTGAACATATACTCATTTTATACAAGAATCCAATAATATTGTCTTCTGTGCATAAGTCGAACTCTACATACTAGATTATCTGCAATATAAAATATAAGACACATACAATCCATATAATAAATATAATACAAATATTTTTCCTATATAGATTCTCAATAAAATGGAAAGAAAAAAACTTCTATTAATAAAACAAGTTTTTCTACAAAAAGCAAGCTTTTAGTATACTACTCTATCAATTGAATACCATCACTTTACTGGTAAATGAATAACTTGGCTAAATGCCTTTTATGATGGAAGAAATGAAATTTACACCAAGGCTACAAGTACAAAATAGTGAAAGGAAAAATCAACCATGAATAAATTAAACTCTGCCAAGAAAAAACACGTACAAGCTACAACAAAATAGGTTACAATCACTGACTATCTTCTCCGATCTATTGGACAAAAGCCTTGAGATTTTGGTCTGAAGATCCAGCTTCCTTCATTGCTTCTGTCGCCAAATATTTCCATTTCTTAGCATTTCTTCTCCTCTTTCTCCATCTCCCATAACCATCTCTATACATTGCTTAAGCCTCATCACCCTCAACAGTTTCTTGTCTGTTTGGCTTCACCCTCACCCCTCGTCTTCCACATATCTTCAATCATTTTTGCATTGGTTGTTTGATCAGACCAATGAGGAAATGCCACCACTAGAACCCCGATAACCAAACTCTCCAATGTAGAATTCCACCCACAGTGTATGACAAAACACCCTAGTGAAGGATGTGATAATACCTCCACTTGAGAACACCATGGCACTACCATCCCTTGTTGCTCCAATTCCTCCATGCAACTTAGTTTATCTTCTTTTCTCTCCTCTTCTCCGTTCTCCTTCGCTTTAACTACCCACAAAAATGGCCTACAATTCTCTAACAACCCTCATGCTATCTCTTCCATTTGCCTCTTTGGAAAAGAAAAAATGCTTCCGAGCGATACATAAACAACTGATGATTTAGGCTTTGAGTTTAACCACTCGTTGTATGCGTTTGATTTTTCAAAAAAGTCACACCCAAAAGAAGTGTCAGATAGCTCTTTTCCACCTAAGAAAGTAGAAGGAATTAGTGTCCCAATCCCAATCAAATTGTACTTATTGACGGCTTTTAAGGCCTCTGGTTCTAGTGCATTGAAAGATTTAACAAGAATTATTGGGTTGGTTTCTTCATCTAGTGTTTCAACCTGCTCTTTAAATGATTGGAGACCATTGAATTTGTCTGAGTTTGAAGTAAGTATAAAGGAGGGAAGGTCATGGCTTTTTACCAATGGCACCCCTGGTAACTCAACTGACCATGATGGGTCTTTGCAATTATCAACATTGATATCAAAACAGCCATGAAAGTAATAATAGTATATATCCAAAAATGTGGCTANGCCTTAAACTTTCCTGGAGGTCAGTTGAAGAGGATGAACTTCAGCCGATGTGGAGACGAAGGGATCTCGTAAAGAGGGAGCTAGAGAGCTCAGCGCTCCCTCCCAAGCAAAACAAGAAAGCCTCCCGAGCTCCACCTTAGAAAAGTTCCCTATTTGAAATTNGGTTGAATCTAAAGAAGTGCAACTGGGATATGAAACCTATACGCCACCTCCGCAACCTAAGGGGGGAGGAGGCTGTAGACCAAGCAAGTGATCGGACATCCTTTATTGGCCCTAGCTTTGATTATTTCCTTGAGAGTTTGTGATCCATGATTTTTGACCTCCGACATGTGTTTTTTGGGATCAATATCACTTCATTTGGAACAATCATCATAGTCGTCGGAGAAAGCGGCAAAGTTGAAACCCNAGAGGCAAGGTTGGCAAGGGAGGAGAAGGTGGAGACACTTTTATTCTCTACACTTTCGAGAGAGGAATGGGCTCACTTCCGGATATGATCTCAACTTTGCATTTTCCTCCGCTTCTACTCTTCCTAAAAAGAGCCATCTTAGCCTTCACAGTGTCAGCATCAGGAGCCATCGAGCTGGAACCTGAGAAACCAAAATAAGCAGGTCAGGGAAAATAGAGAGAAAGAAAGGAAAAGCTAGAGATAAAAGAAGAGAAGCCTTACCAATAATCTCCTTTGTGCCAACCACAGATATGAGAATAGGGGTCTCTACTCTCACTTCGGGGGGACTAAACCCGAACTGTGTGAGCACAGAAGGCTTATTCAGATTGGATTACTTCTCTGGCTGGAACTCCTTGAGGCCCAACAGGGCAAGCCTATCGTCTATTCCAAGGTCTGAACGAATACCTGAAACAATCAAGAGAAACGAGGTTAGCAGAGGAAATGTAGAGACACAACGTGTCAAGCTAAGCCTCCTCTTAACAAGGACTCACTCAAGTTGTTAGGACCAGACCAAGAACGAGAAATAGGAAGGGTATCAGTAGCATTATTTAGCTCAAACTCTCTTTCTTTCCCTAACACAAAAAAGAATAGTTTCTACCAATTCTTGTGGGAGCTCAACAGGTCAATAATTAGGGCTAGGGTCTTCACCCATTTAGAGATGTATAGAAAACCATCAGAAGGAAACTTGAAGTTGAAGTATTTCATAAGCAAAGGAACTGAATGGGTACCGAGCTCATTTTTCTTAAAAGATAAGAAAAAGCCACTAAGACACCCCAAAATTTAGGAGAAATCTGAGCTAGACAAACATTGAAATACTAAATAACAAATTTAATAAAAGGATGCACAAGAAACCTGAGACCATTCTCCAAAGAGGCAACAAAGAAATAGGTTTTATCTTGCACCTCAAAGTCGTACCTAGTATCTACAGAAGGGCACCAGTAACGCATGCCCCTGGGAAAACCAAACCTCACAAAAAGGACACTCATCAAAGGAGGTGTAACCTCACTATAACCTACCAGGTCTGAAGCACGAGGGGAAGGTTCAAAGCCCTTAACACTATCTAAGGGCCCAGCCCCTCCCTTTTTAACTTTCCCTTTTCGGGATCTCATAGAACTCGAGGAAGACCCTGGCAAAGATAAAGACACCTCTACCCTCTCCTTGGCATTAACAAAGTCAACACTTGGAAAATTATCTATTTTATCACCGACATCCCCCAGGTCATCCTCTTCGAACTCAAGCGACCTGTTCCCCATAGCAAGGGACACAGAAGATGTAGTGGCTTTAGAGGAAATAGACTTTAGGGGATATTGGATAAGAAGACTAAAGGAGGCATAAAAGGGAGGAAAATTGTTGAAATTGTCCTTGAAAGCCCTAGGATCAAGGCTCAAGTGACCAAAGAGGAAAATCCTAACAATGGCGTAAGGTTCTAAGAAGAGAGGAAGAAAAGATAAGGAATAACCTTGATTCCTAAAGAAGCAAAAGCGAAGGACCAAAAGTGAAGCAACCACCTCGAATCTGAGGGATCTAGAACGAACAAAGGCGTAAAAGAGAAGAAAAATAGCAGAGCAAAGGACGTACCTAGTTGAAAATAAGCGACAATCAAAAACCCGAGGTAAATCCAAGGAATGAATTAAGTAGCCTCGCAAAACCTTCAAAGTAAATTTGAGGAATTTCCAACAAAATCCTAGATCTCTAATAAGATTGGGGAAGATGAAATCGAGAGAGAAAGGAAAGAGAGAAAAATCTAGAGAGAGAGAGAGAGAGAACGTGAAGAGATTTTGAAGTAATGGAAAAGGCAGTTTCTTGTCTGCTGAAGCATTTAAGGCGGTCGTACGGACAAACACATGGAAGCAGAGGAATAAGGAACGTGCACGAAAAATAAGGCAAAAATGATTAAACATTTGCAACACCATAACAGCCAAGAAAACGTCCCATCATGTGCATCTCAAGGTCGATTTTATGCAACCTCGCCCATCCAAGACAAAGCTCAATCCCAGCTCACACAGCCCTGCATGACCAGGGACTAGGGGCAACTGATAGTACCTCGAATATGCCCAAGGTTGAGCTCAGTAACTCAGGTCATGCTCTCTTAGGTCGGAAGCTCAATAGCATGAAGACATAGACTCCGGACCTCGAGCTCCCTGCATATGCATCTCAAAGAAGGCAGTCTAAAAGACAGTTGGCTTCCACCAAGCACCCCCTCGATAGCAACTATCACTTATCCAAGCACAAGATCCATAACCACCCCAACACCCATCACAGTCGTTGCACAATAAAAGCAATTGTTACAAGAGAGAGGCAAAGATCTCACCATAAATCTGGCTGAGTCAACTTTAAATAAGAGACACAACCCTCAACAGAAAAACAAGCAATAATCATCTAACTAAAATACTCTCTAAAATATCCTCCCATTATCAATATATTCCCCAAGAGCAATAGACTCCTTTGAGAGTGAATTAGCCGAGCTCCCGAGCCGGTGAACCGCTATAAACCCTCTGTGTAATTATCTCATCCCCTAATCCAATTCCCAAAAGCCTTGGAGCTCAAACTGAACTGTTCAGTGCATGTTGAATCTACCGTTCTGCTCCATCGTGTTTATACATCATCAGCCATCATATCATTGTTTAAATTGCATCATGAGTATGAATCAAAGAAAATAAAAATTTATCTTTAACTCACACAAACTAATCCGCCCTTCTCTTAGGTTGCATTTGGGCTAACACACCCCACCCCGCTGCCTCAAACATAACCCTACAATTGTTATAACCCACCCGACAAAACTAAGGAACCACTATCGCCACAAATCTCCACCATCAGCATTAGTCCTTGCCCAACCCCAACGTCACACTGTTGCCCTTATCCCTACCAATAAATATGGTGAAACATCCCTAAACCACTAGCCCCACCCCACCCCGTTATCGCCTCCAACAAAAATTGAAAAACTAGAAATCAAAACAAGGAGAAAATGAAGCATACCTTATATCGCCAAGATCAAAGGTTAATGAAGAAGATGATAGCTACTAAGGGATTTATATAGATGCACACTAGACCTCAGGATCCTTTCTCCTACAGTTGATTGTGTTGAGATGAGAGAAGAATTTACTATGTAATTCATCCCTAGCCACTCTTTTATGTCCAAACCAAAGGAAAGGTGACTTCTCTTTCCTAGAAATTTTGTCGCCCATTGTAGAAGATTGGGTCAGGGATTGGTTAGGGGTTGCGATCTGATTTGGTTAGATAGGAGAGTTAATTAGGGATAGAAGGGTCTTTTCACAACCATATCCTAGGTTGGCTAATTTCAAACCCACCCCTTAGGTTTGTTGAAGCCCACATACATGGGTTTTACCTCAATTGTTCATTACAGACCTAGATTTCAATCTCGGGCCTTAGATCTGTAACCAAACAAGGAATATGATAATCCATTGGACCATTTTTTTAAACTCACTCTTGCATACCCTCCCAAACCCTCACACAAATAGACCCTTGAAGATTATGTAAGTGTGCAGTTTTACCTTTGCACATGCTCTATTTTGCAATTACATTTCCTCTCTTTGGGAAATGTAAGTAATTTGGGACAAATAATTCCAAAAAAAAAAAAGTTAAAGGACTGCCCTAAAGTTTATTAAGGACATGCATGGTTTTGGAGCAATATATTTTGTTGTGTACTAGGACTTGGTAAAGGCTTTCTCAATATTTTCTAGAATTCTTTGTTAGTTTTATCATCACTTATAAACTCTAACAAAGTAAGAGCAATTACTTTTCCACAACTACTGGTGTTTTCCAAATAGGAAACACAATATTGTTACAACCTATCATGAAAACAAAATGGTTGGCAAAGTCATTAATTGAGCAAATCAAAAAATAAATTATGAAATGAAAGAAGCCATCAAACGACATGGGAAAGGGACGAAGACATGAGGACTGAATTGTTGAAACGAAAATCCCAAGAGCCGTTAACAGCGTCGTGTATGTATCAAATATCAAAAAAAAAAAATTAAAACCTTACAAGGCAGAATTAGGGTTTACCTTCGAGATCCCTCAGGATTAATCATGTCTCAGCACAAACGCAGAATCGAACAACGAGCAACTAAAGGACTGCTCGATGAACCTCGTGACCTTTTATAGTATATCCCCCAATGTTAGAATTCGGATGCAGTATGGGCTGCCAAAACCTCTAAACTTTTGCTCTCCCTTTCAGCCTCTCTAAAAAACGTGATTAAATAATAGATGCTGAATTAGAAAGCCTAAACGTCTATATATAGGTTACGACAGAAATACTAAGGAGAAATAAGGATCGGGCTTCCAATGGACTTAGGATTCCTATGTTCAACCCAGAACAAACATCTTACAGCCCATTAATAATAAGTCAATCCACTAAAAACTTATTATTGATCGTTTTATCTCAAAATTATATTCGAACTCCTTATTATTATATGCTTAATAATCTTCCCACATTTAAGATTACAAATGTCCATCAATTAAATAAATTACTGATAATTATATTTAATTGACTTCATTTACTCTTTGAGACCTTACTACTCAACTTATTTGTCATGTCGGATAATTAAATCCATCTGTAGGGTTTGACATGGACAAAACTTATAAGCTTCCTCAAGAGGACATCATCAACCCATTTAACTATTAGGACATGGTTTCCATTAATAATTAATTCCCACCATATAATTAGCATCGTCTCCTAATTCATCGAGCTTATTGACTCAATATGAATCTCACCCTTTGACGAATTAAAGTGACAAACATTATATGCATGTGGCAATTAAATATTTTGGGATTAAAAGTATAAGCAATAATAATAATAATCAAGAGGTATTTATTATCTTATTGAATCAGTAAAAGATAATAACCTCAACATGGGTCTGTTCAATACACAAAATATACTAGTGCAATAATCTGAGACATCAAACAACCTCCTACAGTCTAGACAGACTATGTCAGAATATTATACTACAATCATACCGATGGTTCCATCTCGGATTGTGAACATATACTCATTTTATACAAGAATCCAATAATATTGTCTTCTGTGCATAAGTCGAACTCTACATACTAGATTATCTGCAATATAAAATATAAGACACATACAATCCATATAATAAATATAATACAAATATTTTTCCTATATAGATTCTCAATAAAATGGAAAGAAAAAAACTTCTATTAATAAAACAAGTTTTTCTACAAAAAGCAAGCTTTTAGTATACTACTCTATCAATTGAATACCATCACTTTACTGGTAAATGAATAACTTGGCTAAATGCCTTTTATGATGGAAGAAATGAAATTTACACCAAGGCTACAAGTACAAAATAGTGAAAGGAAAAATCAACCATGAATAAATTAAACTCTGCCAAGAAAAAACACGTACAAGCTACAACAAAATAGGTTACAATCACTGACTATCTTCTCCGATCTATTGGACAAAAGCCTTGAGATTTTGGTCTGAAGATCCAGCTTCCTTCATTGCTTCTGTCGCCAAATATTTCCATTTCTTAGCATTTCTTCTCCTCTTTCTCCATCTCCCATAACCATCTCTATACATTGCTTAAGCCTCATCACCCTCAACAGTTTCTTGTCTGTTTGGCTTCACCCTCACCCCTCGTCTTCCACATATCTTCAATCATTTTTGCATTGGTTGTTTGATCAGACCAATGAGGAAATGCCACCACTAGAACCCCGATAACCAAACTCTCCAATGTAGAATTCCACCCACAGTGTATGACAAAACACCCTAGTGAAGGATGTGATAATACCTCCACTTGAGAACACCATGGCACTACCATCCCTTGTTGCTCCAATTCCTCCATGCAACTTAGTTTATCTTCTTTTCTCTCCTCTTCTCCGTTCTCCTTCGCTTTAACTACCCACAAAAATGGCCTACAATTCTCTAACAACCCTCATGCTATCTCTTCCATTTGCCTCTTTGGAAAAGAAAAAATGCTTCCGAGCGATACATAAACAACCGATGATTTAGGCTTTGAGTTTAACCACTCGTTGTATGCGTTTGATTTTTCAAAAAAGTCACACCCAAAAGAAGTGTCAGATAGCTCTTTTCCACCTAAGAAAGTAGAAGGAATTAGTGTCCCAATCCCAATCAAATTGTACTTATTGACGGCTTTTAAGGCCTCTGGTTCTAGTGCATTGAAAGATTTAACAAGAATTATTGGTTTGGTTTCTTCATCTAGTGTTTCAACCTGCTCTTTAAATGATTGGAGACCATTGAATTTGTCTGAGTTTGAAGTAAGTATAAAGGAGGGAAGGTCATGGCTTTTTACCAATGGCACCCCTGGTAACTCAACTGACCATGATGGGTCTTTGCAATTATCAACATTGATATCAAAACAGCCATGAAAGTAATAATAGTATATATCCAAAAATGTGGCTAGTTGAATCTAAAGAAGTGCAGCTGGGATATGAAACCCATGCGCCACCTCCGCAACCTAAGGGGGGAGGAGGCTGTAAACCAAGCAAGTGATCGGACATCCTTTGTTGGCCCTAGCTTTGATTATTTCCTTGAGAGTTTGTGATCCATGATTTTTGACCTCCGACATGTGTTTTTTGGGATCAATATCACTTCATTTGGAACAATCATCATAGTCGTCGGAGAAAGCGGCAAAGTTGAAACCCTTTAGTGGTTCAGTGATTTTGCTCATGCGGCGGTGGGCGGAGAGGCTAGTGGCGAAAGTGACCTCCATGCCCATCTGAATGAGTTGCTTGGAGAATTAGAGAGATGGGTTGATGTGGCTTTGCAACGGAAATGTTACAAGAAGGATGTGGCAGTGCACCATGGTGGTGGCGCATAGAGTTCTTTTATTCTAATGTGCGACAAAGATTTTCTTTGTGTACTAGAAGTGAGGAAATATGCAATGAATTTGTGGTTTGGAAGTGATGGAGATTTGCATGGAACAAGTATATGGGGGCCTTAAGATTATGGGAAAGAGTAACGCTACAAAACTCAAATGAAATCCAAAAAGTTGCAACTCAAATGTATATCATCTTTTGGACCTTATTTGAGGATCTTATTTAGGGATCTAATGATGTGGCTTCAATGTAACCACTAGATTATTTATGAGTTCAAATGTTAGATAGAGCCCACAACCAATTCAATAGTTATACAATATAATCATTGAATTAGTTGTGAGTTCCAATGTTAGATGGAGCCCATAACCAATCCAATAATTATACATCATTAAATCCCCAAATAAAATTTCGAAATAAGGTCCCTATAGCATTACTCTAAGATTATATGGGGAAGGGGAGAAATTGTTCCATGGGTAGTACACACCAGCTTGGCACAAGGTGTGCACCCAATTAAATGNTCCACTAAGACACCCCAAAATTTAGGAGAAATCTGAGCTAGACAAACATTGAAATACTAAAGAACAAATTTAATAAAAGGATGCACAAGAAACCTGAGACCATTCTCCAAAGAGGCAACAAAGAAATAGGTTTTATCTTGCACCTCGAAGTCGTACCTAGTATCTACAGAAGGGCACCAGTAACGCATGCCCCTGGGAAAACCAAACCTCATAAAAAGGACACTCATCAAAGGAGGTGTAACCTCACTATAACCTACCAGGTCTGAAGCACGAGGGGAAGGTTCAAAGCCCTTAACACTATCTAAGGGCCCAGCCCCTCCCTTTTTAACTTTCCCTTTTCGGGATCCCATAGAACTCGAGGAAGACCCTGGCAAAGATAAAGACACCTCTACCCTCTCCTTGGCATTAACAAAGTCAACACTTGGAAAATTATCTATTTTATCACCGACATCCCCCAGGTCATCCTCTTCGAACTCAAGCGACCTGTTCCCCATAGCAAGGGACACAGAAGATGTAGTGGCTTTAGAGGAAATAGACTTTAGGGGATATTGGATAAGAAGACAAAAGGAGGCATAAAAGGGAGGAAAATTGTTGAAACTGTCCTTGAAAGCCCTAGGATCGAGGCTCAAGTGACCAAAGAGGAAAATCCTAACAGTGGCGTAAGGTTCTAAGAAGAGAGGAAGAAAAGATAAGGAATAACCTTGATTCCTAAAGAAGCAAAAGCGAAGGACCAAAAGTGAAGCAACCACCTCGAATCTGAGGGATCTAGAACGAACAAAGGCGTAAAAGAGAAGAAAAATAGCAGAGCAAAGGACGTACCTAGTTGAAAATAAGCGACAATCAAAAACCCGAGGTAAATCCAAGGAATGAATTAAGTAGCCTCGCAGAACCTTCAAAGTAAATTTGAGGAATTTCCAACAAAATCCTAGATCTCTAATAAGATTGGGGAAGATGAAATCGAGAGAGAAAGGAAAGAGAGAAAAATCTAGAGAGAGAGAGACAACGTGAAGAGATTTTGAAGTAATGGAAAAAGTAGTTTCTTGTCTGCTGAAGCATTTAAGGAGGTCGTACGGACAGACACATGGAAGCAGAGGAATAAGGAACGTGCACGAAAAATAAGGCAAAAATGATTAAACATTTGCAACACCATAACAGCCAAGAAAACCTCCCATCATGTGCATCTCAAGGTCGATTTTATGCAACCTCGCCCATCCAAGACAAAGCTCAATCCCAGCTCACACAGCCCTGCATGACCAGGGACAAGGGGCAACTGATAGTACCTCGAATATGCCCAAGGTTGAGCTCAGTAACTCAGGTCATGCTCTCTTAGGTCGGAAGCTCAATAGCATGAAGACATAGACTCCGGACCTCGAGCTCCCTGCATATGCATCTCAAAGAAGGCAGTCTAAAAGACAGTTGGCTTCCACCAAGCACCCCCTCGATAGCAACTATCACTTATCCAAGCACAAGATCCATAACCACCCCAACACCCATCACAGTCGTTGCACAATAAAAGCAATTGTTACAAAAGAGAGGCAAAGATCTCACCATAAATCTGGCTGAGTCAACTTTAAATAAGAGACACAACCCTCAACAGAAAAACAAGCAATAATCATCTAACTAAAATACTCTCTAAAATATCCTCCCATTATCAATATATTCCCCAAGAGCAATAGACTCCTTTGAGAGTGAATTAGCCGAGCTCCCGAGCCGGTGAACCGCTATAAACCCTCTGTGTGATTATCTCATCCCCTAATCCAATTCTCAAAAGCCTTGGAGCTCAAACTGAACTGTTCAGTGCATGTTGAATCTACCGTTCTGCTCCATCGTGTTTATACATCATCAGCCATCATATCATTGTTTAAATTGCATCATGAGTATGAATCAAAGAAAATAAAAATTTATCTTTAACTCACACAAACTAATCCGCCCTTCTCTTAGGTTGCATTTGGGCTAACACACCCCACCCCGCTGCCTCAAACATAACCCTACAACTGTTATAACCCACCCGACAAAACTAAGGAACCACTATCGCCACAAATCTCCACCATCAGCATTAGTCCTTGCCCAACCCCAACGTCACACTGTTGCCCTTATCCCTACCAATAAATATGGTGAAACATCCCTAAACCACTAGCCCCACCCCACCCCGTTACCGCCTCCAACAAAAATTGAAAAACTAGAAATCAAAACAAGGAGAAAATGAAGCATACCTTATATCGCCAAGATCAAAGGTTAATGAAGAAGATGATAGCTACTAAGGGATTTATATAGATGCACACTAGACCTCAGGATCCTTTCTCCTACAGTTGATTGTGTTGAGATGAGAGAAGAATTTACTATGTAATTCATCCCTAGCCACTCTTTTATGTCCAAACCAAAGGAAAGGTGACTTCTCTTTCCTAGAAATTTTGTCGCCCATTGTAGAAGATTGGGTCAGGGATTGGTTAGGGGTTGCGATCTGATTTGGTTAGATAGGAGAGTTAATTAGGGATAGAAGGGTCTTTTCACAACCATATCCTAGGTTGGCTAATTTCAAACCCACCCCTTAGGTTTGTTGAAGCCCACATACATGGGTTTTACCTCAATTGTTCATTACAGACCTAGATTTCAATCTCGGGCCTTAGATCTGTAACCAAACAAGGAATATGATAATCCATTGGACCATTTTTTTAAACTCACTCTTGCATACCCTCCCAAACCCTCACACAAATAGACCCTTGAAGATTATGTAAGTGTGCAGTTTTACCTTTGCACATGCTCTATTTTGCAATTACATTTCCTCTCTTTGGGAAATGTAAGTAATTTGGGACAAATAATTCCAAAAAAAAAAAAGTTAAAGGACTGCCCTAAAGTTTATTAAGGACATGCATGGTTTTGGAGCAATATATTTTGTTGTGTACTAGGACTTGGTAAAGGCTTTCTCAATATTTTCTAGAATTCTTTGTTAGTTTTATCATCACTTATAAACTCTAACAAAGTAAGAGCAATTACTTTTCCACAACTACTGGTGTTTTCCAAATAGGAAACACAATATTGTTACAACCTATCATGAAAACAAAATGGTTGGCAAAGTCATTAATTGAGCAAATCAAAAAATAAATTATGAAATGAAAGAAGCCATCAAACGACATGGGAAAGGGACGAAGACATGAGGACTGAATTGTTGAAACGAAAATCCCAAGAGCCGTTAACAGCGTCGTGTATGTATCAAATATCAAAAAAAAAAAATTAAAACCTTACAAGGCAGAATTAGGGTTTACCTTCGAGATCCCTCAGGATTAATCATGTCTCAGCACAAACGCAGAATCGAACAACGAGCAACTAAAGGACTGCTCGATGAACCTCGTGACCTTTTATAGTATATCCCCCAATGTTAGAATTCGGATGCAGTATGGGTTGCCAAAACCTCTAAACTTTTGCTCTCCCTTTCAGCCTCTCTAAAAAACGTGATTAAATAATAGATGCTGAATTAGAAGCCTAAACGTCTATATATAGGTTACGACAGAAATACTAAGGAGAAATAAGGATCGGGCTTCCAATGGACTTAGGATTCTTATGTTCAACCCAGAACAAACATCTTACAGCCCATTAATAATAAGTCAATCCACTAAAAACTTATTATTGATCTCCTGAGTTTTATCTCAAAATTATATTCGAACTCCTTATTGTTATATGCTTAATAATCTTCCCACATTTAAGATGACAAATGTCCATCAATTAAATAAATTACTGATAATTATATTTAATTGACTTCATTTACTCTTTGAGACCTTACTACTCAACTTATTTGTCATGTCGGATAATTAAATCCATCTGTAGGGTTTGACATGGACAAAACTTATAAGCTTCCTCAAGAGGACATCATCAACCCATTTAACTATTAGGACATGGTTTCCATTAATAATTAATTCCCACCATATAATTAGCATCGTCTCCTAATTCATCGAGCTTATTGACTCAATATGAATCTCACCCTTTGACGAATTAAAGTGACAAACATTATATGCATGTGGCAATTAAATATTTTGGGATTAAAAGTATAAGCAATAATAATAATCAAGAGGTATTTATTATCTTATTGAATCAGTAAAAGATAATAACCTCAACATGGGTCTGTTCAATATACAAAATGTACTAGTGCAATAATCTGAGACATCAAACAACCTCCTACAGTCTAGACAAACTATGTCAGAATATTATACGACAATCATACTGATGGTTCCATCTCGGATTGTGAACATATACTCATTTTATACAAGAATCCAATAATATTGTCTTCTGTGCATAAGTCGAACTCTACATACTAGATTATCTGCAATATAAAATATAAGACACATACAATCCATATAATAAATATAATACAAATATTTTTCCTATAT